GAGACAGAACAATTCTCATGGCCTGCCATTCTAGCCAATCTGTGGGATCTCAGTTTCAATGAGAGGCCCTGCCTCAAAAAATAAATTGGAGAAGCAACTGGGGACACCTAACTTTGACCTCTGACCTCCACATGCAAGAGCATATATGTGTATGTGCCCATGCCAGATACACATGAATATTCTGTCTGTCTGACTCTCTTTTTCTGCCCTGTCTCTCTGTCTTTCTGTTTCTCTCTGTCTCTGTCTGTCTCTATCTGTCTGTCTCTCTCTGTGTGTGTGTGTGTGTGTGTGTGTGTGTGTATGTATGTATGTATGTATGTGATATATATGTATATATACAAATATATAATTCCATACACGCATGCATTCTTCTATATATACACATACACACTTATACTACATATATACATATATGTATACATATAAATATGTATAAATAAATAATTTGAGTTCCAGCAAGTAACAGCACACTCAAGAAGAAAACTCATTTTGAAACTGCAGCATTCCAGAATAGTAATGAATGTTAAGGTTTTGATGCTTGCAGCACTTTGCTTTCACATCTTATTCATTCTCATTATTATGGCTCGAGCATTCTCCCAAAATGTACTGATATGTTTAATGTTCTATTTTTATGGGGGGAGGGATATTTCAATTTGTTGGAAATCATGATCGGAATCCCCAGACAGCATGAGCAGCATGAACATACTGTACAAGATGAGTGAGACATAAATTATATAATCATAAAAATAACTATAAAATTCCATTCAGGATAAGGGAAATAGTGGGACTCTGTCAGTGCATATTAGAAAGACTAGAAGTGTTCACGGAGGCCAGGCTATGTGGTAGCAAGCAGGGTGGAGCTCAAGTCTGTAGACATTACCTAGACAAAGTCAATCAAAAAAGTAGCCTGTAAAAAACAACATGTACAAAGCTCTTAAAGAGGGCACAGTGTAAAACCAACTAAAACCCGAACAAACAGAAAAACAGCAATGGCATCAGAGAAGAAGAATGCAGTAGAGAGACTGGGCCTGGAATGAAGCTGATGGATCCTGACCTTGCAGAACATGGCTAAAATACCACATCACTTTTCAGGCATGATGGCAATGCTTGGAACCCCAGAACTTTGGAAATAAAGGCAGTGTCCTCAAAAGTTTAAGGCCAGCCTGTTCTGTCATTTGCCATGAGAGCCACAGAAAATTACTGAAGCTTTTTAAGCAGAGTGAAAAATGGACTGATTTTCTAAAAGCAAGCAAGCAAGCAAGCAAGCAAGCAAGCAAGCAAGCAAGCAAGCAATTAATAAAAACCTAAAAGACAAACCTAGAAATGAACCAAAAGCAAAACACAGGACAGGAATGCCCTCAGTGAAGTCGGATGAAGAAGCTGGCAAAAGAGCAGATGCATATAAGCAGGCCCAGGTAGCCACTAGAGCCAAGCATAATGCGACTTTGGTCATTCAATCTAGAGACAACAGTCTACCTGTCAAGGAAGGTTATGGCGGCAGTGGAGAGAAGGAGTGGTTTAGAGACAGTTTGCAGTGAAATGGTTAGAATCTGGCATGGAAGGTGGAATGTTACATGTAAAGAACTCCAATGACTGAAGTCTGCAGAAATAGATTGCATGTTCTCTACCAGGGCAAGACCCGGGTGCAAGAGGACACGGCTGGGAATCACCTGTGTTTGGGGAAGTTTGCTAGAGAGTGCAAATCTTGGGGTAGCAGTGAGGACATATCTCCTCAGGGAGGTGTTTGAATTGCATGCACACTATGGGTCCTTTGTTTAAAAGAGTCACTAGGGAGAGAGCCAAAACTAAGCCTTGACTGGATGTCTCAATATTCGTTTCAGGGCCCTGTACATATGAACCTGGTGTGTATGGTATACACAACAGTATCCTGTTTCAGTTTGCGCATCTTTAAAACAAGAGAGATTGTGTGCAGTTGAAAGCGTTATTGTGGAGAGTAAAAGAGAACACTGAGGTTCCAGGCCTTAGTAATCTCCCCAAGCTACATCAGTTCTGTGTGGCTGTTATTCCTTTCTCTGTATTTGTTATTATTGACATCTGAAATTCAAGAGTATTAGTATCGGCACTATGTGGTTCAGTGTTTACAGGAGTTCCTCAAGAAGTGAAGATATGACTCAAGTCCAAATAAACACCACTACCTAGGAGCTGGAGATGGTGGCCTGAGCTATTTATAGGCCTGAGTGTTTACTTGAATTCAGACACCTCGACATGTAAATTATGCAGAGTCTGTGTCACAGCAGAGCACACTGTGTTCCTAAAAAGAATTCTTCTTTTGCCCAGAATCCTTTACCTTTTAAAATAAATCTCATTATGGAGCACTGACATTTTCAGTAAAACCATTCAACCAAAAGCTGAAGGTTTTTTCTATTTCTTTTTTTTTCTTTTCTTTTTTCTCAGAGTGAAAACAAGTCTGGTTTATTAGGCAGCAGAATATAATAGAAGTTTATGTAGAGAGCTGATAAGACATCTCAGGCTTTCCATGTTCCTAAGACAGAACATATGAAGCTGGCTACCAAGAATTATCTCTCAGTAGAGTAGGAACTGAATGTTGCTTGTAGAGGGTATGTGAAAACCACAGAACCAAGACTTCAGATAGACCTTTTGGGTTCAAGGCTATTTCTTTCCATCATAGTGTAACTTTGACTTAGTTTTCTAGCAGAATGACTGTGCATATAACCTCCTTCAGAGGGTTGTGGCACATGGAAAGCTAATACTTGTAAACACACCATGGCCATTGTGTCATGGGCATGTTGCCGCTCAGCTTCTCTGCCCACTTCTCCTCAGTTTCCCCTACCTTTTTCTTTCACCTCTAATTTTCTCTTTCATGCTTCTCCCATTCCTCCTCCCATGGATATATGTTTTACTTTCTTTTACCCATCTTTATACTACAAAGAAGGTGGCATATGTAGTCAGTCACCCAAAGCCCCTTATTGTCCTATGTCCACACCACTCCTAAGCACTGCTAAGTTTAGAACTCTAATGGAGTCATTTCCCATATTCCTCCCAATAGAATAATGAGGTAAGTTTTGTGTTCATTTCAGAGACAAGCTACTTAGGCCAAAGGAAGTTTAAAGTCCAGTCATACAGGGTTATTAAGTGATAGAAATTCACATTTCTGTTCACATAGTCATTTCCCACAAAGGATCCAAAGTCAAGTTTACATTCATTTATTTGCTCATACACACATACATGCATACATACATACATACATACACACATACATTCTCATGCATTTTCTTATATAAAGGATGGGTAGCACATACTTACTTGAATTATGTTACCTTCTATAATCAGCATTTATTCTGTATGACCAGTGTCTTTATGGTAACCAGTGCTAAACACTTTGTATATTTGTAAATCAGGTAGATTAAAAATATTCAGACAATAGAATTAGCCAGACCCGAAGACTATTTAATTCAATGTGCTTCCATTCAGAATGAGAACTGTGGAGATTCACATTGCATTTTAAACTTTCACTGTCAAATATATTTATGTAATTGTAAGAAGTTATAGGTAATTATTATTATGTAATCAGAATACAGTAAATGTGCAATAATAAGTTTAAAATAAGAAATAAATTATGTAGACATATGTGGGGGTCTAAAGGGTCCTCCTAGACAGTATAATAAGGGGCTAGGCTCATAAAATTGCCTAAGAAACCGACAGATTTGAAGGCTGACTAGGATATTGAGTTTTCTCTGTGCTATAAGATGACTCTGAGCAAAGGCCAGGCTATATAGAGATCTGTCATTCATCTCAGGAGCCTGGATTTGATCCTCAGTTAAAGGGATGCTGTGCAGCGAGGTAAAGGGAGCCATGTCATTCAGTTCACATTTATGAACATCACCATGGTTACTATCTAGGTAATGGTTGGGAGCATGGTAACCATAACCAGCACTAGATTGATTATGTGTGGTCAAAACTCAGACTTAAATTGGTTACAAAATTAACATTTCAGTCTATTAATAAAAAAGCACACACTAAAATAATTTTAATCAGTCAGATAGGCTTTTTAAAATTAACTTATTTTTATATATATTCATATTTGGCTAGCATGTATGTTTGTGCACCATGTATGTGCCTTGTGCTCACAGAGACTAGAAGAAGGTGAAGTATTTCATAGAACTGTAACCACAGATGGTTGTGAGCCACCATGTGGATGCTGGGAATCAAGCCCAGGTCCTTTGGAAGAGTAACCAGAAGTCTTAACTGCTAAGCCATTGTTTCAGGCCCATAAGTCATAATGTCTTATATCCTGATGGATATACTAGATGGCCAGGCAAGAGCTGGAGAATATGGAGAATATGCAGAAATTATTTTCCATTACTTAGAAAACACTGTTCTTATTTCCTTCCTGTTTTCTTTCAGGATTCTTAATTCACAGTCAAAATGTTCCACATGCACCCTGAAAAGCTCTCACTTTAGGAGCAAATCAAATCAGGCTATACTTCCCAAGCATCTGCTGTTCAGTTTCTTGGCTATCTATTCTCCAGATGGATATGGTGAGATGGGCTTAGTCATGGCAGTCTGCTTGTAAGTCTCAGTTTCATCTCCACACAACTAATAATGGTTCCTGGAGATCAGTGTAAGCTAGTTGGTATGGACAGGACTTTGTGGTACAACCTGAGTTGCCAGTATCATTGGAGGAGGACTGCTCTGTGATGGTTTCCTGGAGAACAGGGAGGACGAGAAGCACAAATTGATTGGAGGCCAAGATGATACAGACTTGGCTTTCCTCAGATGAGTTTATCTAATAGGGAGCCATCTTGAACTCTGCTCATAAGATATTCATTTCCCTCTTGTTTGCTTTGTTTTGTTTTTATTCTTCCCTTACCTGCTATACCTGGGGCAGACTGACTAAAGGTCGCAGTAGGTATTTCTTAGCCTCTTTTTCTCTGTGACTCTTGATGTCTTACTGAACACTGTTATTTGTACTTGAAAGGCTATGCAATAATTCTTCTTCCTTGTGTTTGGTCCTACAGGATTGATCACTGGAACAACGAGAAGGAGAAGATCCTGCTACTCACAGACAAGACCCTTTTGATCTGTAAATATGACTTCATCATGCTCAGCTGTGTACAGATGCAGCAGGTTCCCCTGAGTGCCATCTGCCGCATCTGCCTGGGCAAGTTTGTTTTCCCAGGCATGTCTCTGGACAAGTAAGTATAATGCTTCGGACCTGAAGAAGCTGTGAAGCAAGGCAGACATGTGCAGGGAAATCAATAACATGGCCAACTGAGTAACATAGGCTGGAAGAAAGTAGAGAGGAGGGGAAATCTTTCCATTACGTGCATTAAAGTATTGAGTTAGCTTCTAATTGATGATAAGCACTGCAGATGTGACTTTAAGCAAACTGGTACTCTAGAATAAGAACCTAAATAAATAGCTAAATGTATTTAGGTAGGGAGGACTATTAGAATAAAAAGAAAACGTTCTTTCTCAATGTACATGGCAAACAATTAAAGAAGGTTTCCTTGGAGAAGCACTTGAGCTAGTATTTGCTGTTGGTTAGGAGTTACCCAGACAGACAGATAGTTAAATAGTATTCCAAGAGGGAGAAACAGCATAGGTTCAAAGAGTAAGGCAGGGCCAGCAGCATGTAGTATGGTTGGTGATTCATGTTGTTCTGTAAAACCAGATCGACAGACCTTACTATAGTCAGTAGCTCTGTAGTTCTTTCAAACTCCTCCTGGGAGCTCAATAGCCTTAGACCTTTAACAAGGGACCAGCTGAGGTCTACAAAGGAGTGTTGACCTTGGTAAGTTGCTGTGTTGATCTTGGAAAGACATGTATTTTCCAATTCTTTTAGCTATAGTAGATATAAGCCATAGGCTGGCCATCTTAACTGACAGGTGAAGGTGAGCTCTTCTCATAGAACTGTGAGCTCACAGAATGTATGCACCATTTTTGTTTTGAATTAAGTACCTTCTATTAGGTTTGGCACATTCAGTGCTCTGAGAACTAAGAGCACCTTAAACAAGCATATGGTTTTCTTTATCAAAGCTTACACTATCAAAGAGTTTGCTTAATTTGCTCTTTTCATTGGTACAGAAAGTAATTCATTTAGTTTATTGAATTTTAGAACTGGAGGTTTAGTAGTAATAATGATAATGCACACTTAAGATATATTTAAATGTTACAAAATATTTATTTTTATGACCACTGATTTCTTCTCCAGATCCTATACCTAACATTCTTTACATGGACACCAGTAACTTATTTCCCACTTTTAAAGAAGTTGTCTACAGATATAATATACCAAAAAGTCTCTGTGTATACATCTTTAAAGTCTACACAGTGCAAGATCAGTCTTAGCCTTTACTACTGCAGAGTGTTACTGTCTAAACATACTTAGCTGGCTTCTCAGGATGGATATTTATGTTTGTCTTTGCTAACTATGCTCCTGTGAATATTCTTGCCTGTGGGACTTTGTATAATTTCCATAAGTGTGCAAATCCATCTGTAACTTAGAGTTCCAGGAGTGGGATTTGTTAGGTTAAAAATCCTTGTGAATCTTGATTCACAGAAACAGTCAAATGCTTGCCATATGAGGTGTAACTGTTGATGCTACAGGATATCCTTTACTGCATTGCATGTAATGAAACTTTTTTACTTTGCCAGTCAACTAGATTAAAGAAATTATTTTTTGTTTAATTTGCATTACAAGAATGTGGAGGGAGAAAAATTTTTCAGTAAGATAACCTTTCTGACCAGAGAAATTATTTGTCTGCTCTGGTTTGCAGAAATGTTTGTGTGTCAGATCATAGCATCTCTTTTCTACTCTGCACATTGTACATATTTTGTCCAAGTGTGTGACAACACTTACAACTTGATAACGCTCTTTTAAGGCCCCTGATTCTTAAGCACAAGAGTTATCATTCTGTCAGGGTTTGTAAATTTGTCTTTCTGAGGAAGGAACTATTTGGAACAGAATTATAATGTATATTTTCATGTTTTGAGTTCATAATTCAGCTTCTAAACATGGCTGCATTGCTATTTTGTCTGAAATTTGCTTGAGTAGGGAAATACTCAAACAGCTACATCTTTCTCCATGATTCGTTCAGTAGCCCACCCTTCTCCGATGGTGTGAAATGCACCTTTGTCATGTGTTTCCTTCCTCATACATCTCTGGATATTTCTATGTTATTTTTTTATTTCATTCTGCTCATCAAAACGCAGAACAGGCTTAATTAGTCTGTCATTTATTATTTTTGTGTTGTCAGAGGTTAATGTATGCATTGTGCTGTTCTCATACAGTAAGTTAAGAAATATTCTAGTCTTTATTTTTCTAGGAGATTTTGTTTACAAGTAATTTAATTCTGTCTTGAATATTTGATAGTATTTACACAGGAAATCTTGACATTACTAGGTGGAATAGTTTCTTACGTAAAATTATTTCATGAATATTATATAATTACACCTCTTAGATTTACTTTAATTTTAGTGAACTGTGTTTTTCAAGAAATCTCTTCAGCACATTTAGTTGGACTTGAAGGTATAAAGTTATTAACAGTAGTCTTCATTTCCCCTTTGACGTCAGTAGAATATGTTAGTAATGCTTTCACTTCCTACAAAGGGTGGTCTGTATCTTCTGAGGTTTCTACTTATCCATTAAATGTGTCTTAGATGGACACGCCTTTTAGCTATACTTCCCTGCTGCTTGATTACTATTTACTGGAATTCTTCTTCTCTTTACAGTTTTTCTCACCTGTTTATCAGGTTTACTTTTCCTCTTCTACATCTGCTTAAAGAAGAAAGCAAGGTTATTAATATAGGATTTGTCTGGTTTTCTGCTATGAGTGTTCAAAGTTATCCTTTTAAACATCAGTTATTGGTTAAGTATTAGTTTATGTGCACCACAGGCATGTAGGTGCCTCAGGAGGCCAGAAGAGGGCATCAGAGCCCTTGGAACTAGCATTTCAAGAGGTTGTGAACCATCTGATGTAGGTGATGGGAACTGAACCTAGATCTTCAACAAGAGGAGTACCGTTCTTCAATATTGAGATGCCTCTCCATCTTCTCAGTGTTCCTCGTTTATCTTTAGCAGTCCCCAATGTTTTAAAGTTCTGTTTTAAGTCTGGTATTATTTTAGCACTTCCATCATTTTTATACCTACTTTTCCATTGACCTTCCTTTCCCATCCTTTAGTCTCTACTTACTAACTCTCTGTATTTACACATGCTTCATACAGCAATCCCATACATCACATAGTTAATCTAGTCTGATCACAATTACCTTTTAACCAGAATAGCTACTCATTCCACTTTTTGTAAGTGGTGTTTTTAAATGTTATGAATAACTTAAATGTTTTATGTTTAAATGTTTTAAATAACTATTAATTATTAATATGACCAGCCCACACCCACTATGATGAAGGCAGAGTACTATAGAATTTTCAAATCAGCTTAAGCACATTTTCTGGGCAAATTACCCCAATCTATTTTATTTTTCCCTACAATAGACTGTTAATTCCCCCAGCTGCGCTCCCCAAGTATTTGCTGTTTTTTTTGTTTCTTTCTTTGTTTGTTTGCTTGTTTGTTTGTTTTTTTGTTTTTTGTCTCACCTGGGTTATTTCTGTTCCATCATTCAGTCCTCGGGGGCATTTCACTAGGACATGTACTCCTAGTCCATCATGTCTAATGGAGACTTCCTGTTCTCTCTGTCTTCCTTTCTCCTTTTCCCTCCTTCTCTTCTCTTTCTTTCCCTTCATGGTCCTTACCTGTGACCCCCCCCCCCCTCAGTCTGGTAACAGAAACCGTGCCTACTTTAGTCTCACCAGTAATTGGCTGTAGCCACCTTTATTTGACTAATAGTTTTAAATTGGGGAGCAAGGCTTACACAACAAAGGCTGGTGTACTGCTCAGCAGTGGCAACCAGATCGTGGGGTTGAGAATTTAACGTTCTGAACACAGCAGTACCAGACCAACCCCAAGGACATTTTTGGGAATTTGATACCTGTTTGTTATTGGTTTCCTATCATTTTCCTTTACTTTTGGTTTCTTTGTTCTTTTTTTTTTGCTTGTATTTTGATTAAATATTTGTCATAACTGGATTCTAGCCCATCCATTAACTTTCATTTATGGTATGTGTTGTGGACACTTTATGTCAGAAATCGTCAACCTTAACATTATTAGTAACTTGGATAGGTGAGTTATTTTTTCTGGGAAACTGTTCTGTATTGTATAGAGTGTTCAGTAGTATTCCTGAATCTTAAGCATATACCTACCATTAGAGAACGCTCAGTTCTTTCTGTGTCTTTAGTTTTGCCTTTTTCAGAATGTCACATTGTTGGATCTGTATAGACTTTCCAGATTGGTGCCTTTAACAGAGAAATATTTATTTAAGATTACTCTATATGTTTCATGGTTTGCTGGATTTCTGAGGATGATCATACAATCTCTTACTTTTCAACTGTCTATAATTTACTGAATGCTTTACATTCAAACACCTAGGTTTTTTAATTCACAGATATTTGGGAATGATGTTTTTGCTTTCTGGGTTCCAAGTTTGACAGATGATAGACACATAACCATTGTATTTGTATTTTGTCTCTTTGCCCATTTCTTTAGTAAGTTTTCTGGCTACTTGATACATTCTGGGCTGAAAAAGAAGAATTACATTTTCCTGTTTCCATAGTGATTATTTTACTTTTATTAAATTACATTATGGACATTGATAATGTGTTGTTTATATTCAAGCTTTACTTAAGATAGTTTTCACTATAAACTGTGTCTTCTGCAATCTTTATGTTCTTTTGAATTTTTTTAATGGTACATCATTACCTATTTTTAAACTTCAGCTTTCTGAATCACTTTGATTTTGATATGCAGTAGAATGTGATGCCTAATTAAATTTTGTCTTATGATCCAGCATGGAGGTTATTTAAGATGAACTGTTAAAGTACAGTCAGATAATAGCCATGGGCTTAGTTCTTCCACCTTGATTTGTTATTATAGTTTAGAAATATATTACCACGTTATTTATGCTTAAGTTGTTTTAAACTCCCTGGAGTTTTTTCCAAATTTACATTGGTGGTCTGTGTCTCATTTTACTGTTGCTTGGTTCCAAGCATAACTGAAAACGATACTCTATCCTTCTTACTCACGACTTCTGCATCATTAATTTTCAATACGTTTTGCTTACAGTAAGTATTATTACA